CAATAGTAAAAAGTATAAATTTAATGATAGTTCTTTTTATTATCAATACTGCCGAAGTTCAGTACCGAGTACATATAAATTGAACATCACTCGCGCAAGCACACCAATACCCATACTTGTTCTCTGGAATTTTTCATCTGTGAATATACGCAGCAAGTTTATTAAAATGCATTACGAGTGCTCGTAACGCTCGTACGCTCGTTCAGCAAGGGCCAAAGGCCATACTAATTATGTATTAAATTCCAATATTTAATTTCCCTCGCAAAGCATAAATATTAATGCAGTTTGCGAGAAATTATTAACTTTTTATTGTCGGTTCGTTGGGTTCACGAAACTCACAGAATGTAACTTTGTTCATATATTTTTTAACATATTATTTTATATATGCTTATACGAGCTTATAATAATAATGTGACGAGGCGTATGATTAAGTTGTTTAAAAATTATGCAAAAATTAATGCACGAAATAAGAAGTTAATTTATATGATTTATTTATCAATTAACATCAAAAGGTTTTTCTTTTTTTCTTGAAGAGCTACATTGACTAGCTACGGAGTATAAACAAAACACGTGGAAATAGGCTATCGATGGTGGGTTGACTTACTATGATTTTACAAATTTAAAGTGAATAGTGTCAATGCTGCTCTCCAGCCGAGCTCCTATCAGCTTACAAGTGTATAAAAGACATTAAGAACCTTTGGCGCACATTCAATTAGACATTCTGATTGGTCGTTAGCCACATGCCAATTATGTTACCTTTCTGGAAAACCAATTAGCCATTTTATATATCCGACCGTGAGTGGGGCCACAAGCTGAAACTTCAAACCGGGCACCGACGGCAATTTGACTGGGTTGATGATACCTTTACCTTTACCGTAAACCAATTAGGTCTCAAAAGGAACGGCGCGTTGTCCTTGTGCATTAATTGGATTAAATATGTCTAGTTTGAGCGGAACAAAACGGTTTTGGTTTTGAATGTGTTACAAAGCTTTCGCTCACGGTTAAATATAATTTGCCAAGCAATTATTGCGTCTAACATATCTTTTGGGCTAGAATCTATTGTTGTTCATAAATGCTCTTCGAATAAAACGAGAAAAATGGGTTTTCATAACCATACTTTTGAATTAATTACAAATTGTTAATGCATGTACTAACAAACTTATAGAATATTCTGTATAATATTAAATTTGAAACAAAAATAGAAATGCATCTTGAGCAAAACGCGCTAAAGTTGATATTGGCTTAGTGTTTGATATTGTTATTAAATTTGTTCGGAAAACTTGTTAAGAATTGCAAATCCTTTTCATGTTATAAAATTGCTTGAAGGGCTGACAACCTACGCAATACAGGATGACTTTCACAGCAACGTAAAGTACAAAACTAAATGTCCTTTTATTGAGCCAGCCTGTCATAGGGCATATCTAATGCCTTGACAGCTTGAGTCTGTGTGTGTTGGTGGTGCCACGCTTGACAAGCGCCTGGTAGGACAACATTGCCCTGTTTTGCAGTGTTCAATAAATGTCAACAAGTTTTCAAGCCATAATTGAAACACTTCAAGAAGTTTGCATGAAACGTCAAAGAAATTCGCACAAAATCCAAAAAATTTGCAAATATCCCTTTTGCTGCTCCGATATTGTTGACAAAAATCTGCATCAGCTGCAGGCTGTCAAGTAAGTTCAAGAGTCAACAAGGCTTTACGTAAAGTTTTCCTTATGGCTTAGCTGCTGCCCCTGCCGTAGGGCAACGTACATAAGTTAAGACTATAAACTGTCAAAAGGTCACACAGTTGGTTCTTTGTCAAACAATGCAATTTTCAAGAAATTCTCAAACAACAACAGCAACCGCAACATGAGCAATTTGTCTTCCAGTTCCTGTGAACTACAAGTTAATTAATGAATGGCAAGTGCTGACAAAGTCTTCGCCTTACATGCAGAATATTCAATTTTTGTATATCTATGTTATATGTGCACCCTCCAGCTTTTGCTTTGAATTTTCAATAACCGAGATAGATTTATTTTTTTAAATATTGTCAACTTATGCTTTTCGATTATGTCCACGGTTTTATTATCGCACTTTTGCCAAGTTTTTATAAGCCATAATAACAAGAGCTATGAAAATGTAGCTGTGATATTATCCAATAAATATTGTCCAAACTTTGATCATAATCGTAAAAGATGTTCTACAAAAGCAACTAGAACAAAGTTTTCGTTGATACATCGAATTTTTTGCATTGGTAGAAAACACATTTGCATTCACATAAAGTTAATACGAGCAAATTTACAAATTCGACACAATTATTGATAAGCGATGCGTTTACCTATTAATTTATAATTTCTATGCAGAAATTTATATGCAAAAAAGTAAATCAGTAAATATGTAAAAATAGGAGACAATCAGAATTGTCAACATAGGTTCCTATTAATATTTATATAATTTATATGTAAATATGCACTTACCCGAAATAAGCATATGCACAATATACTATTGGCATCCATTAGTGGGATTTATATATACCCATTACTGAAAAAAACAAATTTCAAAGTAAGTTAGTAAAAGTAAAGGTACAGACATAAATAGGAAATAAAATGGAGTTTATATTAGGGTAACAATATAAGTAGAGATAAAGCTTGTGAGGTTCGTAACACAACAATATAAATAAGGCAGGAAACCTGAATTCATGAGAATCGCGTAGAACGGCTTAATTTCCAATACGTTATTTTTTATTTAATGCGTAAGGTAAACTTGGCTTGCATTTGTATAAGAGAACATATTTATACGCTATGCACATACACACACGTGTACAAGCATATACAAATACATATTAAAACGAGAAAGTAACGATATTTTTTTTGCAAGCCGCGGATTTAATACCCTTGTAGACATTCCCCTCGCTGTTTTTCAGATATGTGAGAATAGCTTGTTTGATGAAAATATCTATGAAAGCAGAATATTTTGCCGCACAAGAACCTACATTCCGACCGATACTATATTAACAATATGATATAGCTGTTCGATGCGCCCGTTTCCGAAATATATGCCGGCAGCAACAGAAAGCTTCATGATGACGACTTTAAAAATGAGACCCAGGTTTGCATAGAAACAGACAGATGGACATGACTTTATCAACTCGGCTGCTGATGCTTACTTAGAGATGTATCCTTCTATGCGTAACACATTTCATGAAAAGTTTATAAAAATGCAGATTACCAGTTTTGACGATTTGAGCTGTGTGCTCATTATAACCTTTCGGTTATTATGATTATTTTAGTAATTACCAAACATTCGGCACAAATAGTTTTAAATTAAGAAAAGTTTGCAATATAAATAAAAGATCAAAAACCCAACTTTAATTATTTTATTTCAGATAGGCGTTTTTTCACGACTTTAAAATGCTACAGAGTCCAGACACACAAAGCTTGGCAATATTTGTCGTCATCTTAGCTGAAAAGCTGGCTGACAGCAGACGCTGCTCACAATGTTAGAAAATAAGAATAGAAACAATAATTTCCGTTATTGTCAACGCTCCACTCCACAAAACACAATGGTGGTATTGAGGAAGCTGTCGCCCGGCCGTTTCCTGGCCATCTTTACCCACTATCCGGCCACCCAGCTCATCTCAGTGCTCATCTCATCGAAGGCTTTCAGCGCTCACACTTGACGTATTTCCGACTCCGACAGTTGCTATTTTGTTGCGTAGACATTTCATTTGTCAGTCTCTTGGGACGCAATCGCATTGTTTGCACTTGGATTGAGACCCGGATACCCTGCACCATAACCAATAGTGTGTATCAGCTTAGTACATACTGAGCCAGTTGAGTAGACTTTTACGATTATATTTGAACTGTGTAGAGGGTCTCTCATAGTCGACCTCATCCCTTCATATTGATATAACAATGTCTCCTGTGGAGATAATACTCGTTTGCCCGGTAAATAATTTTATTTTTTCTTTTACTTCATTATTTCTAATTATAAACGTTGTTCGTGGCTTTTAAGTGAACATTATGCTTAATTGTTTCTGACAGATTTAATTAACAGTTCGAAGTTTAGCATAATTGAAAATGTTTTTGTTGTTATTGTGATGTTCTTTTTTATGATTTTAACTTTGAAGTTTTTCCTTGCGCTGTGCCCTAAGGAATTTTCGAAACTTGGGCTGCGGAAGCGTTATCTAAATTTGAATTAAATTTAAATGTAGCGCTTATATCTTTACAATTTTGTTAAACAAGTATTCAGCTGATATTAGCTTAATTAGTACGCGCTATTGGGCGAATAAATAATTATGAATACCGAGCTGAAGCCCGATTTCCATTCAGAGAAATACAGAAATGATTGGGTGACAAATAAATTTGTTCCTTTCAACCTTATACCTCCATTTTCCATGCATCCCACATGAATTATCACAAATATCTGGTATAAATCACACAAATGTTTTGTTGACATTTTCCCGGATGTATCACATTTACGAATAGGAGCGGCATTACTTGACCAATTCCACACTTTTCACAATTTTAGTAATTCTTGAAGAGTCATACAGCGGTATAACACAAGCTTTTTATCTATTTCAGCTGCAGTTGGTTCGATTGTAGAATTTCGATGACCATAAATAGACAGCACCAAAGGTCGCCTGTTTACAAACTCTTTTCGCACTTCAGCCGCTTTAATTGCGAAATCTGGTTGTACATTAAAATCCATTATGCTTAACAAATGCAGGTGAGTGCATTCCCTTATCAGGTCTAAATATATCCAAGTAATATTAAAGTCACATTTAAAGGCTATTCGTAGCTCTTCCAAAAGAGTGAGATGCCTCAAAGCCCGTACACAATCAGCATTGGTAAAGCTGCATTTGAGTATCTTTAAGGTACTGATTCGAGCCAACTGCTCGGCCTGGTTCAGATCACATATTAGGCCATGAACAGTTAACGACTTCAAGCACTTGGCCTTGTCTGCTAAGGCACCAAATATGTCTGCTATGCCTGCACCTTGTGATCCTTTGCAGTTAAGAGTATTTTTCTTGTTTTTTATATAGAAACTAAGTTCTTGCAAGTTTGGGCAATGGTATATGATATCCTTCAGGCTTGAATTGCCCACTCGATCCGTCAAGTGCAGTGCGCGCAGATGTCTCATTGACTGGCACGAATTCAACAAATCCTTGGAGCTCAGCGGCACGTTCAATGATAGCATCTCCAGTTGCGTGAAGGGCCGCAGAGCAGCTGCTTCGCATTCTAAAAACATACTCAGATATAGCTAGATTTTATCTAAGGGGGCACATGTACTCACTCTGAGCGCAAATTTGTAAGTGCTTCAAATTCTCCTCCTGAATAGCTAAAAATATACTTCTCATGCAAACTTTTTTTTTATACTGCCACAAACCAAAACTTTGCAGACTTTTCATATCTTTTATTAACATACAGAACTTTTGAAAAAAATAATTTTTCTTTTTCCCATAGTTCCTGGATAGGAAAACATTCAAATCATCAACATAGATGCACAGTTTTTTTACATATTCTGCAACAATCGACAGCAACTTGAGTTCATATGTAGAAATCTCCTCAACAACAAAGAAATTGACATAACGAAAGCTGGCCCAATGCTTGAACACCTGCCGAACACGACTACAGGTCTCTGCAAAGTTAATAAGATCTTCTCCCTCCAGATAATCACAAATTGACTCCAAACAATAGTCGTTGAGGTCTAATATTGTTACATTGCATGCGTAGCTCTGCATTTTAGTTGTGTCAAAAAGATACTACAACGAATTTTTACGTTCTGTGTTATTTTGACTTTATCTAACAAATTTCTTATAGATAAGATTGCAAAAACAGGAAATTTGCTATCAGCGTTCACCCTCCTAAAAGTATTTTTTTTTCATTTATATGATTTATGAACTTGCTATTAAGGGATAAGATAACTTGACAATAAAAACACACAACATATAAGTAAATACAGGGTATCTGGATAGCTGATAGCAGTTGATAGTGTTTGACGATATTTTGCGAGTCGATTTCAAATAAATGACACAATTTCAACTGGGCGCAGCTCCACGTAAATATGTTAACTGTCATTTTAAAATTCCATAAATATTAAAAAATATCAACATGCTGGAGCAAATACCGGCATTCCATATGCCATTCACACAAGGACACATTAACTTTTATTGGCATCATATATACAACAACTGACCTACTTTATAATACCGAAGCGGGCTACTGGACCCCTACGAATGCACACGCCGCCGGCACACACGCTGGCACACCTGCTGACAAGGCACACAGAACCCACATGCACACAAGTGCAACCCGAGATGAGATGCGGTGCACAGCATGCGAGCTGCTTTGATCTATGGCTCGTCCCCGAAGCCTTCTGCCAACCAGGCTAAACAAACAGAAAAAAAAACTTTTCAGAAAGTAATTTCAGCCATTTGCACGTTAATTTAATTAACAGCGCAAGTCCTCATCATCACCCACAAAGAAGCCGACCAACGCCCGGCAACTAAATAAAGCATGGAGTATAGAATAAACTGAAAAGGAACATATATTTGCACACACTTTATTATATCCTTTTTAGCGTTAATGTAAGCGTATCTATAGAAAATAAAACTCTCAGAAAGTTTTCTTTTCTTTTTGTTTTTTTTTTTTTTTTTTTTTGAATGAAAAGCTGCCAAGCTGCTTTACAATCGACCCACAACCCATTAGATTGGCCGTTTAAGCATCTGCAAGATTAAATTCTGATAGAAATCCGAATCCAAGACGCTAAATCACAGTTTATGGCCCTTTGGTAAATGCAAAGAAGGGGACCATTATTTTATTTTTATTTTATTTCGTCTTATAGATGTGCACGCATATGAATACATAAAAACTCGATCAAAATGCATGGCAGAAACAATTTAAAATAATTCAAGAGACCCTTGCGGGCAGCCACAAACAAGCAACTGGCAGATGGCCTCGCAAGCCCAGTGGATACGTAGGATTATCTTGCAGATACTCGCACTTACTTATCGTACAAGCGAGCATATCCAAGCCAAAGTGCGTGTATGCAAGGAATTATCAAGTGTTTGTCAACACACTCGCAGAAAAACACACACACACGCACATACTCAGACACTCCGACACTCCGACGGGGTGTCAGCCAGTAAGCACTACAAAGAGCTTATGTAAAGTGAAAGTGTGCGCGGTCGTGTCATAAGAAAGTGTCCGTCTTGTCGCTCAGTTCATCCCTTGGACCGATTACACATATACGAGAAATGCGTAAGCCAAACGACCGGAAAGATACATACATACATTAATATATATATATATATATATATATGTATGCACCCATACATAAATAAGATTCCGGATTAAACACACACCTCGGCCGCCATTGTCATCGGCCCAAGTTGGCGCAATAAAACCAAACTGAAACTGTGCATGAAACTTTTCCTTTGCCCTTCTTCCTCTAAGTAGGTAAAGTATGTCATTCTGTCTGATACTCATCCGTGTGTGTGTATGTGTGTGCTTGTACAGCTATGTGTGTGAGTGTATATGAGCATGCGTGTGAAATTGCTATCTTATGAGCGTACATCAAAGGCATAAGTCACATTGCACAGCAAGATTTGCTAAAGGCAGTCATATCATGCACATATGGAATACGCACCGGACAAAATGTTAATGTATTCGATATAAATAAGTTATCGCCAAGCACATGCAATTTTAAATACCTTTTCTCTATTTTAAACAATATTACTACTTATTATGTTATGTTGCAAAAAAAGACATCTCTTAACAAAACAATAATGAGTGCTCTAATCGGGAGTGCTCGACTATGGGATTTCCTGAACCTTCTTCTAGCTAATAAATTAGAGATACTTGATCTGTATATACTATACTGGAAGATATCAAATTTGGTGATTATAGCTCTTAAAACATAAAATTGCTAAGAAAAAAAGGTTTTACTCTATCGATTTTATCGATTACATCGATATGTGATAAGTAATCGATGATCAGTAACTTGTTCTGAGCGCCCACTAGGGTATCTACGTTCAAAACCTAAGCTGTTATAAGTTGTAAGATCGAGGCGTTCATAAATAACTATAGATAGTATAGTATAGACAGGCTGCCCTGGCAGCACATTTGAATGTCTTCCTTAAGACAAAATGTTATTCGTGGGCATATTTTATCTAGTTTAAGGGCAAGGGAGGAACAGAGGCACACTTTGTTGTGCGTAGGCACACTTTTATATGGCAATAATGGGCAAAAATTTATTTAGACCCAAAAACTCAATGGTTTATAAAAATTTGATTGCCACTTTTAAGACAACTATAAATATTCATATGAGAATTTTTTTTTTATTTTTTCACTTAAACAATATTTGGCGAAATATATACATCGTGTCGTCCTTGTTACTGTTTTTACGAATATATTTCATTTTTATTATGTATTTGTTTTTGTTTCCTTGTTGTTGGTCCACATTCAATATTTAACAGTCTCAACAAATTACTTTAACCCTTTTCAAAATTGTGCACCCTTAAGGCTTTAAGTCATTTGTCAAAAACTGCAAAAACGGCTTATGGAAAACTCACACCCACAAAAACACACACCGACACACATACACACCCTGAGCTATGGAGAGTCTTTCACACTTTCTTATGCAAATTTTGTGCTTAGTCTCATGTCTTTGGGGCGATTCTAGTGAAGCCAAACAAACGTATACATGCAAATATATATATATAAAGATATATATATATGTATATATATAGCTCTTGGGCAGCTGGGAACTGCCGATGGGAGCATTTCAAACACGTTGCTGCCAACTTCTTCACACATTAAGCCTATTTATTTTTGGCTCTTGTCAGATTAAATTACTTGGCCAGACGACAGGCGTTGAAATATCATTCTGGGCCTTTACCATTGGGATAGGCGCAAATCAACGTCAATTCCAATGAGAAAACACAAAACAAAATAAAAATGCATGTTAAACACTGCAAATCAATTTAACAGAAAAATCTACGATATATATATAAAGAAATTAGGTCCAAAAATTAAATTTGATAAAAGTGACAGTTAAATTGAAATTGAAAAGGTCCTGACTGTTGACTATTTTTTATCGAATCACCTTCATCGATCTAAATTGCTTGCATCTTATTATAATAGTTGCACTAAAAATATCCTAATCAAGACTTAGCTATAGCTTCAACTGCATCCCGAACTGCCTAACAACATTGCTAAGCATCTCTAGATATCTTGTCCTCAAAAACTGGATGTAATAGTATACGAACCAGGTGTAACCACACCCACATCATTATAAACGCTTATAATTGAATTTTTTATACTTCGCTGTGCTGGCCAACCAAGCCAACCAACTGAAACGATGCTGGCCAGCCGAAAGTGGTTGCTGGTTTCTTTTTTTGCTATCAAGGATGCTCCTGCACCCCAACTCCGCTTGCTCGGGGCACATAAAACACAGCCGGTGCACGGCCAGAAACTCGGACATTAAATAGTTGGGCCATAAATTCGGTGCTCTTTGATACAATTAGGAAAAATGCTTGGTATTGGATTCTGGTACATCGCTGATAGCCTAACGTGGCGGGTTTGTGGCTTTCTTTATTGGATGGTTCGTGGGAAACAGACGCAAATTGGGGCTATTCAATTTAGATGTCCTGGAGGCGATATTAAATGCCAGTTGGAGGCTAACACAATGCCAATTGTTGCCAGTGTCACTGAAAATAGTTGCATTTGCATACATACGTAGATATGTATGCATAATTAGAATTCCTTTTCATTTGCTGTGAGCTGGATTCAGAAATGTTGTTTACCTTACTTAAATTAGTTTGCCAGAACACTTTGACAAAATAATCAAAAGTGAGCGGCATGCTTCTGAAAACACAAAATTAAAAAAAAAAAATTCATAACATTTGGATAGATGCTAAATCTAAGTTTCGCCTTAAAGAGATTAACAATTATATTAATGATTATACGGATTGAGGGGCATAGCCAATTTCAGTTAATAACCTTTGAACGTTTCAAATTCCAGTTGTGATTGACAGCATTTGCCGATCCTGCGCCTAATAAGTATGTGCGAACACTTTGCAACCACAAGCCATATTAGATTTAACATTCAGTTGCTGGCGGACAAGAGTGTCGTCCTAGTGGAAGCACGTGGCTATGAGTCCGAAATATTTTTGCCCCACGTGCAAAACGGTCGAGTGTCTTTAACGAATGTCATATGCAGCCGGCAGCCCAAGGTCCGGGCTAGTGAATTAAGTTTCCATTCTCCCACATCGTTGCACCGATGCCAGCGTCTGCCGAACCGCAAGCTGACCACAGCAACGGCGGGCTTGGCGCCAAAGAAGATGCCCTCAGTCAGCACTGCGCGAGCCGGTGACGTCTCCAAGCTACGCTACGAATTAAAGCTCATTTCGAACGGAAACGTGGTGCTTGTGGAATGTAATGGCTATGAATCTGAGATATTTCTGCCTCAAATTTCTAGTCATTGCGTTACCATGAAGCGCGTCTCCGCTGGCGAGTTGGCGCAATGTGTATCTCGAAAACCGAAAAAGGAGCGGACTTCTACAAAGAATACAGCTGCTTTTATGGCCGCTACTTTGGCAACCCAGGCTGTTGGTTTATCCAAGCTTCTGGTAAATCCACTTCATCTTTTTTATAAAGAAGAAAAAGAACAAAAAGAACATAAGGGGAGTCAGGAGGCGAAACCTCAAAAAGCGCACAGAGAGCAGATGGAACAGAGAGAACAGAAAGAAAAGTTGACCACGGTTAAGCAGAAAAAGAGGCATATCAAGTACAATTCCAAAGAAGCTGGTGACGCGTAAATGAAATGAAGATCAATAGCTCCGCATCGCCCTTCTTCCAGAATCTTTTCGAATCATATTGTGCTCACAAATAACCAGGCGCCAAACTTCAATATTTAAATATTGAGATGTAAATGTATATATTCATATATATATATTGCTATGATTTTTCTCTCTGTCCAGTAATATGAAGTTTCAGAATAAAGTTTGTAAGGAGAACTAATTTGGCCAAAAAGTCATGCATTTCAAAACCAATCAGTTAAAATTTTCCCTTAAGCTACTGGCAGACCAGAGCGTCGTATTGGTCGAATGTCCCGGCCGGGAACCGCAGCTGTTCGTGCCAACCCTGCTCGACGACGCCATCGTCTTGCAGAATGTTATTTTTGATTATGATGCGCCGCCGCCAGCCCAAGAGGAACTAAAGCTGCCAGTACAGAAAATAACAATGCCACCCAAAAAGACGTCAACACAATCCGAAAGCGACAGCATGAAGCCGGGCTCCAGCCATAGGCCACACAGTTCGGCCAGCGCCAACGGTTCCGGCATCAGCACCGTAAGCCTGAAAAAAAGCAGCTTCCAGTGGGTGCGATCTGGTAGAAGTATCAACGAAACGCGAAGCCGAATGCCCTATAGTTGGGAGAAACCTGTTCCAGTGTTAGGACCATCTATTGAACCTACTATTTCAGCCATCAAAGAAGCAACTCAAGCACTGGGGTTAGGGCCAATTAAATTGCAGTCTAAAGTTAATAACAAGCCGGCTTTGCAGTTCGATAACGTGCGCATGATTTACTTGGATCCAAAGGCCGATCGATATATAAAAAATAGGGACTTCAAGCCTACATCAGGGTAGTTTTAGTGCAAGCAGCTTTATACAAATTTGACCTTTATGCAAATTTTAAGTCTCAAATTTTACGTTTGAATTTCGAGAGCTGCATAAATTTTAATAAATTTTATCAGCATGAGTGAACAGCAATATTAATATTTTTTTCATTAATTATTACTTATAGACTATACGTAGCAATTACCATATATTGCATTTTGTTGTTGGGAGCAACTAATATGTTAATTGTATTGTGAAATGACAGAATAACTAAACGTGCTTGCTAACTGTCTGCCGAGCCGAGCCGAGCTGCAACAAACACGCTCGTTATGGTATGTATCTAATCGCAATGTGAATAGCTAGTGATTAGTCATGCGGTTGAGATACGTGGCCTTTGATAGCATTGCGATTTTATATTTATTTACTATTATTTCGAATTCAGTCTCGCAATCAAAGCACAACACGTGGGTTCGCAAAAATGAGCGCGTTGAATATTTTGGACTTAAACGATGATTGCCTTGGTTATTTGCTAAATTATCTGACGGCTGAGGATCAAATCAGTTTTGCCCAAGTCTGTTGTCGATTTCGTGCGGTGGCTATAGCGTGGGCCGGGAAGCAATTTCGCCAGTTTACGCTAGACGAAAACAGCTCAAGACAAGAGCTGATCGGATTCTGCATTTGCCGTGAATCAGTCGAGGGTCTAACCATCGATTTGGAGTACTTTGATACTTCGCGATCATTTCGCAATTTTGGATGTGTAGCGCCCATCAATTGTTTTAGCATACTTTGCCTAACTTTAACCGGAATGGTCAGCTTGAAGCGTTTAATTGTTAAAAAGTCAAAAGAGAAGAGCTTCATTCCAATTGAAAAGCCCTTTGAGAAAATTTTAACTGCCGTTAGGGGCTTAAATGAGCTCAAAGTTTTAGAATTGCATGCGAGAGATGGTAAGTGAAATGGGAAGCAAATCTCTCTCTCTCTCATTCTGTCTATTTTGCCACTAAATCTAGTCTTCCATTGCAGAATTTACCTATGATAATGTAATCCAGCTCAAACATCTTGAGGAGCTACATCTGCACATAGCACAAATAAACGCTCCAGTTCTCGCTAAGTGCTGCAAATCGAATCTCAGTCTACGCCATCTATACCTCGGCTATAACAGCGTCCAGCGTAATCTGTCCGATATAGTCCCATATTGTGCCAATCTGGAAACGCTTCAATTTGGCATGATGGCGGAGCCATCCGCTTACAAGCCACTAGCTAAGCTGCCTAAGCTGAGGCAGCTTATACACTTTGGAGTTCGGCGCAGCGGCTCCTTTGTGCCGCTACTTACCGATTTGGCTGCGCGGCGGCAACAGCTACAACGTCTGGAGATCGATGGAGGCACCCTCAGCATAGAGGAGACACTGCAAATTGTCCGACAGTCCGGCCTGCGGCAGCTGAAGTGCTTCTGCTCGACAGCAGAAAGTGTGGAGATGCTGTCGCAGTTGACGCAGCTGCAGGAGCTGAGCATTTGGATGTCTAGCAGAACAGAAATTTCAGCTGCTCTGCTAAAAGTTATAGGGGAATGCAAGCATTTGCAGCTCTTGTGCATTGCTTCGGGAAACGTAAGCCCTGATTTTATTGAGGACGTCACAAAATTGCTGTTTGAGAACAGAACGGAACCGAATCAAACGCCGCTAAAGCTAGAACTTCCCTTTACGGATTGTACGAGCCGTAATAAGGTAAGTAACTACATTCGCTTCAAAAACAGCAACTAACTTGTACTTTCAATAGGAACTATCTCAACGCAACAAAGTTCTAAGCTGCTCAGCATTTGAAATTGATTCTTGGAAATGTTGAAATATTAGTTTTGCGAATTGATGTGGCATTTATTATGAGTATCAAGTCGGGCCGGTAAATTAGACTTGAAGAGCATTAGATTTTGCACAGGAATCTAAAATAACCACATTTTAACAGTTAATACTCAACTGTGATCTAAAAATTATTTAATTTTAAGAAAAGAACAAAATGATAATTTTTAGCAAATATAACCTCATAATTGAACAGGAACTGTATTGTAAAAACCTTCATTAACTCATTAATAATGTAAGAAACAGCAGAAATAAAATAATATATTCGATAGTAACTTTTAATGATATTAAATTAATATATGTAATATATAAGTAAAGCCGTTCGAAAAGCTTTGGCGCAATTAAAACCGGATTGATTATTGGCCAGGATTCAATTTCATTTGCCACACGCTGCATCCACAGTGCAACCAATGAAATTAAAATCAAATTAAATGAGTGAATTTAACATTCCCGTTGTCGTCGATGGGCCCTCACGCGTGTGAAATGATATATGTATAATGATGATGATGTTACTGCCCGTGTTTGTCAGGCAGCGCCAGTTGGCAAGAGGATCAATTGTCGGAAAGTAGTACCCGTCAGTCAGTTGAGCGGCCATTCCTTATTTGTTTCAATTGAAAACGGTTTTTCTGTTTTTCCGCATGCTGGGCACGCTTTAACACGTTTACATTGAATTAAACGTTGCAGCGAGCACAACGCCAGCATTACAGATAGCAACAATAGCACACACAGCAGCAACATCAGCAGCAACAACAACAACAACAACTGCAACATGTTAAAGTTAAAATCAACATACATTGTTGCTGAAAATTTCCTTTTGTGCAAGAGCACTGTGCAGAGGGATGGCAAAAGCCGGAAAGTGAAACGAGCACCGTCTGAAGTGAAAGAAAAACAGCAACAGGCCAACGAACAACGCACAACAATGGCAACAATGCACTTGAGGCGACCCTGATATCGTAATGCATATTACTACATGTAAACTTACTTATTGTTCAATTCTCTTGCATACCGATACTTATACTGACAGCATTTTTGCTAATTAAAATACAATAAATGGCAATGTGAATGTGTATAAATCGTCTTCTTGGGAATACTCTCAAGCAACAACAGCAGAAACTGAAACTTGAGCTTCCTTAAAATCAACAAATAAAACTAAACTTTGATGGTTGAGTGTAGGAAAAGCTTGTGATCAAAGTGAACGATTGTTCTGGCATCTCAAATTTCATCATTTTAATCGATTTTAAAATCGAAAGACCCAATTGGCATTATCGAAAAATTAAGATCACGTAGAAAGTCGGGATTGCAATAAGAGAAATGCAGCTAAACAGCAAGGCAAATGTAATTTTGCCAATAAACTTTAACGACAGTCTAAAGTACCCACTGAGCCAGCATGAATATTTTATGGCAATGTGTGAAGCCGCACATTATTAATTAAAATTTGCTCCATCAACAACAGCGACAACAACAACAACGACAACAACAAGGGGAGCAACAGTATGCACGAAATTGGGGCAAACGAGGCGGCAGTAAAAACTTCCAATTACTCAAGCGTGCCCTCATCCTTCTTCGGCAAACAGCAGCAAAAACAACACTGGGACATCAAATAAACGTATGTACATATACGCTTCTGTATATGTATTTTTGTGTACGTGTGTATTTGCATTTAATATCCTTTTCTTTGAATAATTCATGCACACAGGACTGACCAACGACTGAACAGCATCAACTGCACACAGTAATCACATGACACGGGCGCGGTCGGCTGCCAACCGAAGGGGCTCCTTTTTATTATTCTTGTTGTTGTCGTTGTGGCTGTTGTTGTTGTTGTTGTTGTGGCTGTTGGGCTTTTTTACGCATGCCAATGGCGAAACTTATTAATTGGCACTTGAGCCGTGGTTACCACGGCTCGACAGAATCCACATTTTTTTGCCCTCGGCTCAACCAAAGCGCGCCGTCATTCAAATTTTTGACCAGGCATAATTTAACAAGTTTTTTGTCCAAGGGCTGCTTCGGTCCCTTTGGACATTGGACGTTGAACATCGCTGGTAATCCACTCAAGTAACAAGCAATAACAACCACAACAATAACAATAACAACAACAACAAGAACAGTAGCCACATCACGAAGCTGACAATGACATAGCAACAAGATTGACGAACATGCAAGAACAGCAAGACAAGCATATGAATACCCTACCATCAAATGGAAATGCGTCGCAACAAAAAAAAGAAATAGTAAACTTAAAAGCTGCATGATTTCTTTTAGTTTAAGCTAAAGCACGGATTAAATATGCTCTAACATGAATAATTAGTTTTTGCTGCACAAAATGTAGTCGAATTTTAAGTGACCTTTTAGTAAAGGTTAGGTATAATGTGGATAACTGCATGTGTCGTTGACTGACTGACGTTTTGGCACAGGAGACAGTCTCATATCCCCCAGTGACTGCGCTATCGTCACGTTTTAACATTTAAATTAAAATGTTTCGCCCAAGAGAAAGAGAGCGGCAAAAATTGCTTACAACTGGCAAGAGTACGAAAAAAAAATCACAGCCACATCCCTTTTAAAAAACAAATGCAACAAAAACAACAGCAAAATGAAAATATATAAAAAATGAGTGCGCTGCTTTTTTCGCTGCCCTGTTTGGCGCTGTCTTTTGCAGTTGGCGCGTTTGCCAGCTGCACTTGAAAGCCGCCTTGCTGGCTATCAGTGCCAGCGGCAGTGGCCGGTTTGGCCATCGCCAACGCCAACGCCAACGCCATCTACATTTATTCTTCTTCTTCTTCTTCTTGTTCATTTGTTCAATGCCGCGTTGCTGCCATCAACAGCGTCGGTCACACGGCGTATCAGTGTTATTCGAGGGGGCTTATACAAGAGCTATACAAGAGCTTTTCAGCTCACTTCTTCCAAAAGACTGAATAAAAAGGTGCTTGAAAAATCAGGCATCGGGCTATAAATATGGGCGTATGCATACAATTGCAGCTGTCTTAATATCCTATAAGCTGAAGGTGCTCTTTAAGCTTTCTTTTAGTGTATGAACAATATGTATTAGGAACATAATCAAGTTAATGTAGAATAATTTCTTTGACAATTAGCCAAATATTTCGGAATTGTTTCTTCTGATTTCACATTACATGGCAACTTTGTGCACAGAAATTGTTCTTAGCTACATTCAATGCCATTTACTGCATCTGTCCCTCACGAATTAAGCACTTTCATTAAGTGACTGCAATCAGGCAAGAAATTATCAGGCAGCATCTGGCGCCTTAACATTGTGACCTGCCGTGCAATCTCTTAATGCACTTTTAATTGAGCGACGACCTGCTGCAGCCAGCCAGCTGACAAGGGCAACGGGGTGCAAAATTGAAAAGAAGTGAAGATGAAAATTTATAATTAAGGTTGCCATTAGCAAGAGTCAAGTGCCAGATGTTGTTTCTGCATGGCCCCTCACCCACTTGCGCCAATTTTGGCAGTAATTTTAATTGTTAGCCTATGACAAGTGCAATACGCATACGCCATGTGTTACGATTAGTTAACATAAATTATGGAAAATCAAAATTTATGCGCTAATTGTCATAGCCAGGCGCGCTTACCTAAATTTGTTGTCCCCAAATGCAAAGCACGAATGTAAATAGAAGCCTAATTTACTCATTAACACACAGAAATTTGGGATAAATTTATATAGCATATCTATGACATGAATTCCACAAATTTATTCAACTAATTAGTGGATTTAGGTACCATGCTGTTGAACATTTAGTCGGAATGACACTCGAACTGATTTCCTTAAAATATCAGAAATTTAATATAGTTATCACTAAAATTAACGTGCGTCTATTGATTAGCACGTGCTTAGCTTCTATATTAAAAAGGTATGTGAGTACGTCAAGTGGCATTCGAGTGATAAATATTTCTTTTCAAATCAATTGTCGTGCATTGAGAAGTGTTCACTTGTTTATTGCATTTTATTGGCAGGGCATCTGTGAGTAGCAGCTGTCAGCAACAAATGCGAACAAATTGTATTTCTGGAAATCCAATTACCAAATCATTTGTTTTTACATATAATTTCTTCTTTGTTTTTCATTTCGTTATTTGTATACCCTAGACCCAGAGCGTGAAGTTGGATATAAGGCTGTGATAATGTTCCTATGAATATAGCCAAACTCGTTGCTCAGCTTTTGATTCCTTTGTACAGGATATCACCTAGTCGAGCAGTCTATTTTTTATGACTTTTTACATACCATGAAAATTCGGGCAGTCAATTTGCCGGAATCCGCACGCACGTACAGTGCTGCAAATTAGTCATTGGTCGCATCGGTTAAATAATTGGTTTGGGTTTTGGAAAACAGTCTTCAGCACAAATAATCGCACGGAGAGTTTTTGTCTGCCGTTGATTTTGATGGAATTTATTCGTATGCTTTTTCGTCCTCTGCTAAACATTTGATTTCTATGGTCATAAATGGTTTGTACATTGCAAATGTCCGAATAAGAAATCAATTAGTTAGTGACAGTTCGTTATGTTATTTATTTTTTAAGGGAATCCCATTTTATTTGCCTTAGCTTGTGATAGATGAGAGCAATCAGTATAGCTACCAATTGTCAAAAGCTAATTCCAAGAACTGTTTTGTGTTTAGGTAACATGCTTATTTCATTTCCAAATATAAATTTTAAACTTCTTGTTCCACATAATGCTATAAACTTTATAAGACCCATATGATAAGGTTTATAACGTCTAAGACGAAAATAAATGGTAAATTAGGAAGTTTACTAATATCGACCTTTAGGCAGAACACTTTACTCCGATATCAGACATTCGAATGCCTTCTTACTCTGCTTCTACCGCCGTACTATGCAAATCTCATAAGCAAATGCTTATCAACATAAATCCACTCAATAATTGATAAAGAATTGACAACAATGTTGTTATAGCTAATTATATTGGACAGCTGTCAGCTTTTAAGTGGTTGTCAATTCTATAAATAAATCGTACGGAAGAGTTAAACTCTTAGCCAAATGTTATAGTAATAATGCGGCCATTGCTCGGTCCACGGGACATACATATCTTTTTAAACTGACCAATTCATAATTTATAATCAACTGTCATAAATAAGTGCGCTGGCTGCCAAGTTATGATAACGATAATTTCGACATATGAAGTCTTGATAGTCATATAAGAACGTTCTTAACAAGCGAACAGTTTGGCATAACGAGCCTACGCGTAGTGCTATGAAGTGCTACGTGACTGTGATCTTAATCCTGGAGCTGGTGCTCAGCTTTAGCTCCGCGAATAGTCGTCACTTGCCGCGCGTGTTGCCTTACGCCGAGGGTGAGCAGGGTGTTCCCGTGTTCGGAGATTGTGAGTTTCGTGTAAACGGTGATCTCAATGATCCAGCTCCGCTCTTCGCGCGACATGACTTTTACGAGCTAATCGTGCCCGATCCCACGGACACAGTGCGTCTGACCAATGGCGAACTGCTCGACATGTTCTGTCCGGGTGCTGGCTTTGCAGCACCCTTTCAAAATCGTACACAACTAACTGTACAGTGCCTGCAGCAAAAGTACTTCCTGGTCGACAATCTGATCTACCCATTTGCCAACTTCAGCTGCGCTGCGTGGCCCAGCTACACGGCGCTGCGCACGGGTCGCCAGTGCAATGGTGGCACAGATCTGGTCAAGGTGGGCTTTCAGCTGGATGACGATGGCTTTCTGCAAACCTACGACGTCTGCCACGATGAGCTAGCCGAGGTCACACGCTATGTACACCATGTGCTGTATCCCTCCAGCTACGATTATCAACATGGTGTGGCGCGGCCGAGTTTCGTCGAGCTGGACTTTTACGGCGGCCGGGACGTTAATACAAAGTACACACAAGTCCAGCAGAATATTACAATTAGCGAGATTTTGGGCATGGATGCCACGCCCTACTTTAATTACAGCGAAGATCGCATTTTAGCTCGCGGTCACATGGTTGCCAAAACGGATCAGATATTCGGCGCGGCGCAAATGTCCACCTTTCTGTTCATCAACGTGGCCCCGCAATGGCAGAGCTTCAATGGCGGCAACTGGGAGCGTATTGAGACGAGCGTTCGCAAATTTGTGGCCGATCGGAATTTGACAGTTGACTGCTATACCGGAACCTGGGGCGTCTCAACGCTACCCGACATCGACGGCATCGAGCGAGAACTTTATCTCGACTTTGATGAGAACAATAATGGCCTGATACCAGTACCCAAATTGTACTTCCGAGTCATTATCGATCGTGCTAGTAGGGAGGGCATTGTTCTTATGGGTGTTAACAATCCCTATGTCAGCTTGGAACAAATTCAAAGTGATTACATTGTGTGCGAAGATATTGGACATCAGCTAAGTTGGGTTTCCTGGCTTAAAGAGGATCTGCATGAGGGCTTTTCATATGCTTGTGCTGTGGAGGATTTCACAGAAGTTGTTAAGGACTTGCCGCTTGATGATCTGCACACGAATGGAATACTTGGTCTGGATAATGAGTCAAGCACCACCACCGAATATCCCAGCACTGTTTCTAGCGTTAGCCCCACGGAGGAGCCATCAACGACGTTGCCATCAAGCCCCACCGAGTATCCCAGCACGGTTTCTAGCGTTAGCCCCACGGAGGAGCCCTCGTCAACGTCGCCAGTAAGCTCCACCGAGGATCCTAGCACCGTTTCTACCGTTAGCCCCACGGAGGAGCCCTCGACAACGTCGCCGGCAAGCACCACCGATTATCCTAGCACCGTTTCCAGTGTTAGCCCCACGGAGGAGATTTCGACGACGTCGCCAGTAAGCTCCACCGAGGATCCTAGCACGGTTTCTACAGTCAGCACAACGGAAGAGCCCTCGACGACGTCGCCGGCAAGCACCACCGATGATCCCAGCACCGTTTCTAGCGTTAGCCCCACGGAGGAGCCATCGACGACGTCGCCATCAAGCCCCACCGAGTATCCCAGCACCGTTTCTACAGTAAGCACTACTGAGGCGCCATCTACCGAACAGTCTAGCACCGCTGCTCCGACAGTCTCAACGACTTCACCGTCCACAACGCCACCGGAAAGCAGTACCGAATCCTCCAGCACAGCCTCAAGTTCAACTGCAACAACCGGTGCACCTGCCACCCCAACTGCTACTCCGTCTCCCACTCCTAATCCCGATCAATGCTACTTTAGCATTAATGGTGATCTTAAAGATCCGGCCCCACTGCTCACGCCACAGGGCGCACTAAGTTGGCTTTTGCCCACTGAATCGGGTATTTATACTGTGGATGATGGTTCCAGCATTGATTTGCACTGCACAGCTGCGCTGGCCACACCCTTCAATCGATATACCGCACTAACGGCACGCTGTGTGGGCAATCAGATGTACGAGGCGGAAGGCCTGAATGTAGAGATAGGTTCATTTAGCTGCCAAACATGGCCCAGTTACGAAGCCGTGCGCACCGGAGATCCCTGCGAGGGCGGCACTGAGCTGCTACAAATTGGATTCAATGTGGCCGCCGGCCTGTTACCGCAGCTGCAGCTCTGCTATGATGAGCAGGCACAGATAACACGCTACGCACGCTACGAGCTGACACCAGCCAATGTTGCCTATCAGCGGAACGTGGCACAGCCGGGCTATCTGCGTGCCGACTTCTATGCTGGCAAGGACGTCAATGTGTTCTATAGTCAATCACATCAGCTTGAGGCACTCAGCGATATTCTCGGCTTAGACGCGAGTCAGTACCTGGACAGCAGTCGCGACTTTTACCTAACACGCGGACAACTCGCTGCTCGCCAGGATTTTGTGCACGGCTCAGCGCAACGCGCCACCCACTTTTATGTAAATGCGGTACCACAGTGGCGCAGCATTAACATTGGTAACTGGCTGGCTGTGGAGCGTAGTCTTCGGCAGTTTGTGGCCAATGAGGCGCTTAATGTCAGCGTGCATGCAGGTAGTTGGGGCGTGGCCACATTGCCAAGTGCCGCCGGCGAACAGACGCCGATCTATCTGGATGCGAGCGCACAGCAGCTGCCTGTACCGCGGCTAGTATATCGCATTGTCATTGATCAGCTGAGTCGCAAGGGCATTGCCTTGGTGGTGGCCAACAATCCACATGCCAGCCTTGCCGAGATTCTGCAGGACTATGTTGTGTGTGAGGATGTGGGTGCACAGCTGGATTGGCTAGACTGGGAAAAAGCGCAGCTCGAGAAGGGCTATGCCTACGCATGCTCTGTGGAAGACTTTACTGCTGTGGTCAAGGATCTGCCACTGGATCAGTTAGACACCACAGGCTTGCTAGGTGTCACCGAATTCAACGAGGAGCAGCCACAGCAGCTGTGCAACTTTCGTGTGAACGGCGATCTTAAAGATCCAGCTCCGCTTTATGTTCTGCGCGACGCACAGGGTACGCCACAATATCTGGAGCCCAATACGCAGGGTCTTGTGGAGCTGAAGCACGGAGAGGCAGTTGAGCTGCATTGCAGCGGATCAAGGGGCTTTCAAGGGCAATTCACGGGCTATGCTCGACTAAATGCCAGCTGCTGGCAACAGGAGAGTTTCCTGGTGCTTGGCAGTGTCTACCAGATCAGCGATTTTGTGTGCACCTCCTGGCCAAGCTACACCGCTCGACGCACAAGTCGCCAGTGCAATGGCGGCACCAATCTGTTGGAGGTGGGCTTCCAGCTTGCCAACAATGATGAACACGACGATTTCCTGCAAACGTACGATGTATGCCACGATGAGCTGGAAGAGGTAACACGCTATGTGCACCATGTGCTGACGCCCAGCAGTGCACAGTATCAGCGATCTGTCAGCCGGCCCAGCTTTATAACTGGCGACTTCTATGGCGGCAAGGACGTCAACGGCAAATACACACAGGTGCAGCAGAACATCACAATCAGCGAAATTCTGGGCATGGATGCCTCGCCATATTTCAATGTTAGCGGCAATGTGTATCTGGCCAGGGGCCACCTGTCCGCCAAGACGGACTACATTTTTGGTGCCGCCCAGCAGGCGAGCTTCTTCTTTGTAAATGCCGCGCCCCAATGGCAGACCTTTAATGCGGGCAACTGGGAGCGCATCGAGGATGGCGTGAGGAAGTTCGTTGCCGACGAGAATATTAACGTTGATTGTTATACGGGCACGTGGGGCGTCTCCACGCTGCCGGATGCAGAGGGCGTGCCCCACGAGCTCTATCTGGACTTTGATGTGAACAACAATGGTCTGATACCCGTGCCCAAGTTATATTTCCGTGTGATTATCGATCGGGATAGTCGCAAGGGCATTGTGCTGTTGGGCGTTAACAATCCGTATATTAGCCTGCAGGAGATTCAGGAAGACTACGTTATCTGCCCAGACATTGGTGATCAAATCAGCTGGATTAGTTGGACCAAGGAGGATCTAAAGAAGGGCTATTCGTATGCCTGTACTGTGGAAGATTTCATAGAAGTTGTCAAAGACTTGCCATTGGAGAGTCTGCAAACGAATGGCATATTAGGCATTTCGGCGTAAAATCCAAAATATTAACTTTAACTTTTAAGCAACCCGTATCACAAATTTGAACAAATGAAATAATCTAAGCATACAATAAATAAAGTACAAATAAATAATGACGATACAACGATAAGCGCTTTTTGTTTTCAAATTGATAACATCCATTTTGGAATTACCTGAATTTATAACCAACGCAAATTTTGCCGTGTGCCACACGTTTCACCTGAGCCGCTGAAGCGCCACTTACCCCATCCGATTTGCCATGACTTTGACATTGCTTATCAGCACATATCGGACATTGTATTGCAATGTGAACAATAGGAGTTCTTAAATTGTATGTTTTTCCTATCTCCCAATAACAATTTCGTTTAATGGGCTGTGCTTCAATTAATACTGCATGTCAACGACATTTGATTTTTTGGAATTTTGATGTAAGTCAACAAAATGTTTGTGGTATTAATTAATTTTTAAATCAAAATAATTACATAATTAAGTTCGAATATTCCGTTAAATAACCCATAGCTATCAGGATTGCCATAATTAATCAGTTATTTTCAATTAAATTTGGAAAACTTCGCTTGAATAATTTGTGCGCGAAATGTACAAAATAATTCAAGCATATCACAAAAATGATATAAAATGGAGCCCACAATGAGAGCAGACTTCAGTTACGAAAACAAGAGTTATCAAATATCTGAGTCATGTTTATTAAGTGGCGAATTGGCTACGTTGCCTGTTGCATATTGGCCATGCTTGTGGCCGTAAGAGCCCATGTCAATGCCTATAGAAGTAAGTGATCGTTTGTGAACAGTGAAGCGTTTGCTAACTGGATTGAATTTGACAGAATTTGGACGCGATTGTCGCGATATAAGCTGTACGCCTACTGAAAGATGTGTTCTAGCCAGCGTGGCCTGCGAAAAGGATCAACAGGATGGCGAGCACTGTGGCCAGTATCCCAAATGCGTGGAGCGTGCGTTTAGTCCAGGTGCGTAAATTCCGTATGAACCTCACTTCTTCCATCGGCACACACTCACAGCAAACCTTTTACTGATCCGTTTCAGATCAGCAATTAAATCGTTTCACGATCGACACCACATCCACCACAGCTAACACTCGTAGCATCAGCGCACCCATCTCTAGTCCCAGCACCAGCACGCTCCATCTGAACCAACAACTGAACATTAACCCGGACTCAGATACGGACGGCGGCATTGAGCTCCTCAATGGAGCGCCAGGCGCTGATCCAGGTGCGAGCCATGCAGATCAGAGACAGGCGAATGTTTTGGTCATTGTGCAGGATGGCAACCAGCAGTCCATGCCAAACCCCAATCCCAATTTCAATAGCCAACCCTGGCGACAGCCCTGCATTGTTAGTCCCTACTATCCATATGCCTGCTCGAATGCGCCCTCGCCTTACATGCCCGCCTCAAGGTCTGCGCCGCCTTATCCCAACGCCCAAACCGCTTCCAGACCGCAGTTGATGTCTCCATCACCGCCCTGTTACTTCAATTGCTATCCCAGACTGGCACAAAACTATCCGCTTGCTAGATCCGTTAGGCCATCCGCATCAACTAGCAACTATTTGCTTTATATAACCGTTTAGGGGTTAAAGTGGTTTCTGTTTCTGCTTCTTTTTCTTGCCAGACTCTTCTGGAACGCGTCTTCGACGTTCACCCCAGGTGTTGTACCCTCCGCAACCACAGTTACCATTGCCGTTACCTTTACCACAAGGTGCTATTCCAGCGCCATTGCCACGTCAATTAGTGTCTCCCACACAGCCCCGACAAGCACCGCCTCAGTTGAATCCGTATATGTCCATCAATCTGGCCTATCCGACCTATTTGTACTATGGCAGAGGCTCGGAATTAGGTCGTCAGACAACAACATACACTTCGGTTTATCCCGGCTACTATAATCCGACGCCCAACTATTACTATTATAACATCAATGTGAATCTGCCATTTGCGGGCACTGCTTCATAAGAATTTATTCTCCTGACCAGTCTCTCTTTTTCTTTTGGCAATTGATCTTCCCAGATTCTCCAGACTTCATTGACATGGAATTAGAATCATCTCAAGCACAACATAATGTTACCACCCGACAAGTATTTATGCCAGGACGAATGCCTTATCCCATGCCTATGCCTATGCCAATGCCGATAGCGAGACCCCTTCCAGCTCCTGTGCCTCCTCCTGCTCCTGTGTATTATCCTCCAGTACAGCCCAGACAATTGCCCATGCCAATGCCAATGCCTATGTCTCCACCCCAATATAGCATAATGCCGCCGATGTCAGTTGTCATTCTGCCTATTGGCGTGGTGAGTGTATCTGGCATCGGCTACAGCTACAATCAATATTATGGGCCAGGCGGACTTTATCCTACTTACAATAACCCGTACACAACTCAAAGTCCTAACTACGACTACTACAACAACAACAACAATAACAACAATTACAATTACGTTAACAATAATAACGATTACAACTCATATGGATAATCAGTGTTGCAATAAAACTAACTAAATAACGTTAAAATCTACTGATCTGTAAAATTTTCAATATCAAATAATTATTTTACCAATAGAGATTAAAGTAAAAATCACCCGTATGTTCAAAATTAAAATTGTTCTATAAAACCCAATATGATAATTGATTTCAGGTATTTCACTAGAAAGACGTAGGCGATCAGTTCATGGCTTTGACAGACGGCGACAGGCTGGGCAGATGGGTAACGGAATGGGCGGAGGTAATGGTGGCAATGGAATGGGTGGAAATGGAATGGGTGGTAGAGGTGACAATGGGATGGGTATGGGCAGAAATGGTAATGGAATGGGTGGTAATGGAATGGGTGGTAATGGAATGAGTGGTAGAGGTGGCAACGGAAATGGTGGGATGGGTCCTGGGGGAATGGGTCCAGGTGGAATGGGTCCTGGTGGAATGGGTCCAAGGGGAAATGGAATGTGTGGAAACTTTAACGAGGGAACGGGAATGAATGGTAATGGGTTAAATAGAAATGGAATGAACGGCAATGGCAGAAATAGAAATGGAATGAATGGAAATGGAATGAATGGAAATGGAATGAATGGAAACGGAATGAATTCAAATGATATGAATGGCAACTTGAACACGTCCAATCGCAAGAAGCGAAGTGTGAATGGATTTGACAAACGTCGACAAGCTGGACAGCAAGGCAATGGAATGGGCGGCGGCAATGGAATGGGCGGCGGCAATAGAATGGGTGGCAATGGAATGGGCGGCAATGGAATGGGTGGCAATGGAATGGGTGGAAATGGAATGGGTGGCAATGGAATGCGTGGAAGAGGTGACAATGGTGGGGTGGGAGGGAATGGAATCGGTTATGCTGGAATGTGTGGGAACGGAATGGGCATGGGATATCAACAAGGTGGTCAAGGTGGCTTGGGAATGGGCCCTAACGGTCCGAATGGGCCTAACGGGAACGGTGGTATGGGAATGGGTCGAAATGGAATGGGTGGCAATGGAATGGGTGGCAATGGAATGGGTAACAATGGAATGGGTAACAATGGAATGGGTGGCAATGGAATGGGTGGACGAGGAGGAATGGGTGGCAACCCTGGACAATGGAACAACAATAACGCTGCCGGTCAATATTCCGCCCAGACTTCTGGATTTGCAAATGGTAGACAGTTAATGCAAAAATCTTCCTACTCTATCAACGGTCGTCCCTACACTATGCAAGCAGACTGGAAACAGGGGCAAGGACTTAACATTTCGTCAGATTACGGATCCGCTGCCTACATGACTCAGACGTCTCTTAACCAAGACTCAGATGGTGCCTCTGTGGATGCCAGTGTCACTGTTAGCAGTATAAGCACTGCTAGCAGCTCGCGCAGACCAAGACAACGCAGCAACGAAACGGAATCAGACAGTTTTTTCAATTTTTAAGATAAATATTAAGAAATATGTGTCTTGTTGTGCGTTATATCAGCAATTTAAAAAAAAACAATGTGTTTTAATAGAATAAACAAAGTGAAACTGCAACTGGGCGAGTTTTGAATTGTTAACCGCTAATTCCAAGATCAAATGATAGTGAAAGCGAATATAAATCAATATATTCTTTATAAAACAATAAGCCGAGCTTGGGCGTGCTTAAAGACATTGTAAGCACACCCATAATTTCTAAGAACATTTACAACACAAAACGCTCTCGCCGTAATTCGGGCACATTGAATCACTAAAACCGGCTGTGTGCTTAAAGAGAGAGAGAGAGAGAGCGAGATGAATTGAGAGAGAGCGATAGCAAGGGAATTTATTATGCGAAATGTAAACAGAAAAACACCTGTATAAGCCACAGATTATTTAGTTAGCGGCCAGACGCCGCACGACTCACTTCGAGACAGTGACGCTGTTGACCATGCATAAATGTTTGCTCACTTTTTTGATGATCGCGTCTACGATCGAGATTCAAGCGCGCGAAGCAATAAAGCCAGCGGCAGAAGTGGGTCAAATTATCAAAGATCTTGAGGAAGTCCATGTGGAAGAGACAATTCAGCGAGGTAAGTGCATGTGTACCGACATAAATACTAAAATATTGTATGAAAACTTTCTCTAAAATTATAATTAAAACTAAGACACAACAAGAGACAAAGGTTTGATGAGTTTTTGTAAAGGTATCGAGTCTAACATTAAGCAAACCAATGTCTACTGAGACATTTCCAATATGAAATATTGTCAACGGCTTATCCCGCTCCTTTATTGTAGGGGGCCCTTGCACGCTGGACATTCAGAAAGATTTGCCGAACTCCAATCTGCAGCCGCTCTACCTGCATCCTGGCACGGACACCTACTGGCTGCCCAATGAAGAGGGGCAGCTGCAGATACCACGTGGCGCCAGCATCGAACTCCATTGTAGTCGTTCATTTGCGATTGCCAACAGCGATGAGAATGTTTCGTCTACTCCCAGTTCGATATATGCGCGCTGCCTACATGACACGACCTTTGATTGGGCGCATACAAAATACGAGCTGAGAGATTTTTCCTGCACCAGTCCACTATCCTACGTTGTGGAGTGTATGGAACAGCCATGCGGGGACGGTGATTTCGCCTCATCGGCTCGAATTTACCGTGTGGGCTATAACATTAGTGCTGGTCGATTTGTGCGCACCATGGAGCTGTGCCACGATGCGGAGCAGCTGCGAACACACTACGCGGCCTACCAGTTGCTCCCAGCCAACGAGCACTTTCAGCGACAAGTGAAACGCGTTAAATTCAGCGCTGCCGGCCAATTTTCTGGTTACGACATGGACCGTCTCTACTCCCAGGCACACCAGCAGCAACGGGTGGCCCAACTATGGCAGCATCCTGACGACGACGCGAGCAGAGACGGTTTTCTAAAGGCGGGGCTCTACCTGTCACGCGGACACCTGGCGGCCAAGGCAGATCTGATTTATGCCAGCCAGCAGCGCACCAGCTTTAACTACCTAAATGCAGCACCTCAGTGGCAGAGCTTCAATGGTGGCCATTGGGCAACTGTGGAGGTTACAGCGCGTCGCCTTGTGGCTCGCTTAGGTCTCTCAGTGAATGTCTATACGGGCACCTATGGCGTAATGCCACTTCCAAACGTGGCCCAAACTACCTTCCATCTAGCCACAGATATTAATTGTAACGGCGTGCTGGCTGTACCACTTCTCTACTACCGCTTGCTTATCGACCGAAAATATCCGAGTCGGGGCTTGGCGCTCGTGGGTGTCAACAATCCGAGCGCCACACTGAGCCAGATCCTGGAATCATATATGATCTGTGACCCTGTGGATCTGGAACTTGTGCCCTCGTTCTTCCGCTGGCTGCAGGCCGAAGATCTCAGAAAAGGTTATCTGTACGCGTGCCGCGTTTCAGATTTGGCCAAAGCCGTGGGACATCTGCCGCCTGAGTTGGCGGAAGTAAACGAGCTGCTTGTGGAGTCGATCGAGGTGCCTTAAGCTCTTGTTGTCAAATATTAAACCAACATTTATTTATTTAGCAAAGGACTAGCTTACATTTAAAAAATGTACAATTGTTTTATTTCCTCTAGCCAATGCATGTAAATATGTAAGCAGTATATGTTTACAGGGTGAACCTCCCACAATACGATTTGTTATTTTCATAAAGTTTATGTTTTCCCATTCTAAACTCAAGAATATTTCGAAGAATGGTGGGTAGCTTAAGAAAAACAACAACTTTTTTAGTTGCTTTGTTTCCGTTAATTTCTTTCAAAAAATAAATTGAAAAAAACAAAATAAAACAAAACAAAACATAATGTAATGGAATATCGGTGGGTTCTTAAATCAACACAGATTACTTACGCACATATTGTTTACCGCCAGCTAACATAAAATATATAATTTTCATACCCCCCCCCCCCTGCGAACCCAGCCTCTACCTTGCCGGATAAACGCAAGAGCGAGGAATTTGAAATGTGCGGAAAGCAGCTGGAAGTACGTTTCAGCGTTTTCAAATCAGTAAATGCAAATATAAATGTATTGAAAGCTCAAATGGGACCGAATTCTAAGTGAGGGAAAACCAAAAGGAATTTATGGTAATGCGTAAGAAAGAAGCGCAAAAAATTCAAGGACGAAAAATGCCGGAAAACGGCAACAAAACCAACGGAAAATTTAAGAAATTGTGCCGAACGACTACACTGCCATAGAGTCTTTGTGTGTGTGTGTGTGTGTGTGTCGGTGAGGCAGAAGAAAAGGATTAAATCAATGTTGCGGAACAAATTGTATTATGTGGGGCGCCTGCATTGAGGTAATACAAACCTATTTCATTTCTTCAAGCTAACAAGGCAAAACCATAATGGGTAGCCGAATGTGAGCCAACTTTTAGACCGCAACCGACGACCCAATTTGATGGTGTCAAAGTCACACGAGCGTTAATAATGTGGAATACATGTAAGATGTTTGCTGCGAAGTCAAGAGAGAATTATACGATTATATGTACATATAGTCAATTAACTGCACGTGAAACGTCACTTAAAGGCATTGTAAAATAAAAACACAAGGAAAGTACATTGAATCAAAAGCACAACAAATATATTTTTCACATTTAAAATATACCATCCATTTTGATTCAAAAATACAAATTTCCCGCTGCCTCAACAAAGTTGAGTCTGTGAAACAATTTGAAACATTGGAGAAATTGTTTGTTACTATTGGATTTTGTTTCCGGGTCGGCGACATGCCTTCGCACAGCTATCAAAGTGACTTTCGTTTTTGCGGGAAGCGTTTCGCTTAAAATTCTTAGCGAACCAAGAAATTTTGGCTCTTTTTTTTTCAACTTATAAGCTTGATGAAAGTTTATCTGCGCGGAAGGAGAGGAGCAATAAGAAATGACGACAAAACCAAAAAAAAAAAAGGAACACGAGCAGCAAAAAAATAATTGAACGCACTTTACGCAGCTGTTGTCGAGGATTTTCCTTTTTTTTTGTGTTTTGTTTTTTGTTGTCATTGCTGTGTGGAAAAGAAGGATATGTTGTGTCCTGCGGTCGCCAGCGGAAATTATTATTTATATTTTGTATTCGGTTCGTGGCTTTGTTAGTGGGATTTCATCTCGATGTATGTACTTTTTAATATTACCACATTTTGGTAACGGCTTTTTATTTTGATTAAAATGCATATTAAATCTTGGCAAGCAAACGAGCATGCAAAAAAACAACAACAAAAACAAACAAAAAAGATGCAGCAAATAATATAAATAATTTCCTGTGACCGGCTGTGTTGTGCTCTGTACGGCCTGTTTCCTTCCGCCTTCAGCCGTGCAACTACAAACACTCGGGCCGACAGCCACTCTGCCTCTGCACGGATCCAATGGCCCGTACATTCAAACCGAGTCGGACGGACGCATTGCATGCAGAAGGCAGCGAAGTTGAAATATTTTGTTAACAGTGCGTAGGTTTCCCAAAAGACAAAAAATACATAATATAACCAACATACATATGTAGTTACTTATGTATATGGGATATGCATATAAAGTTTCTCCTTCTGGGTTATTTACATGTGTAACAACAATGGGCGCTCCCAGGGGCGGCAAGCAGCACATTGGAAATGGGATTGGGATTGGGGACACTGGCAAGACAGGCAGGAAGCACGCATGTAAGAGGCATGATTTATATACGAAAATTGAGGTATCCATTTGCTTACTTTTTATACCGTCTACCCATTGAAAATGTGTGAGAATGAGGGTACAGTAGATTTTAACAAATGTATTTAATAGGCTGAAGACAGTATATCCGAATCCATAAAATATATTTATATATCGCGACGACCTCTCGGAAAACAAAAAGAGAGGTGCTGTAGACTTTAATCTTTGCGATAAATCAAGTTTCCCCAGAATCGATACATATGTGGAATTATATGTAATGATAAATATCGACTATCCATTGGTACATATAATGTTTGCAGGGTATCTCCTCATCGGGCACTTAGGACCAGATCACTCATTCATGTTATTCATAAATGAATTCGTTTCCTAAATCGATATTCAGTGTGTGTTTGGGGCTATGTGTCAGGTCTAGTAGATTCAATGATCAAACCGGCTGCACTTAACAACAGTTTTGTTAATTTCACATAGCTTGAATTTAATTTAATCCAAGAAATGCTGCAGTAGAACAGAACAGATAACAAGAAGGATAAAAGATGAATAAAGTACGTGCACACAATGAACAATGAATTCACATTCACACACACACACACAGGCACACACACACAAACACACAGCAATGACTACAATATGAAAATGGCCAAGAAATTGCCGTTTCATTTTACTTGTTTGTAGGGAAAATCGAGAAGGAAAATGCATTGCAATGGAAATTGCATTGCTGAACTGTGGACTCCGAGCTACGAACAAGCAAGACATGACGACAGTGACATCTAATATCCTTATTGTTAGCAAAAGCGAATTTATGGCTAACACAGTCCTTAGCTAGTATCAAGTATTTAGCTGTGGCTGCCTGACATTTCCAACTAACTGGGGAAAGTGGCGCGTTGGCCTAAGCTGCCATCGGGTTCAGTCCAAACGCACTTCTGATGTTGCTAATGAGCCCGTGGTCCTTCTGAAATTTAACTCTCACCTCGCTAACGCCAGTGTCAACGAGTTGAAAGTGCGCAGTCACCTCAATAGGTGTTTGGTTAATGGACTAACGACAGCTTATGTGCCTTCTTCGTGTTGGAAGACTTCAGCGTAAGTGTGCTTGAATTTAAGTTGCAAAAGTTTTCTTTGTTATGTGACCATCATAGGCTATTCGCATAAGCCGAGAGTGAAACTAAAAACCACTTTGATTCTAGCGTCTTAGTCTGGCGGTTAGCTTTTTGTAAAATTTAAATGAACAAAACTTTGTCCTTCAAGTCATCGGATTACTATACTGATTTAAAATTTAGCAAAACATTTGGACTAAACTTGTGCTACATTTTTATACCCTGAACCCATTAAAAATGGGTAAACAGGGTATAATGTATTTGTGCCGACCCCATAAAGTATATATATTCTTGATCAGCATCAATAGCCGAGTCGATCTAGCCATGTCCGTCTGTCTGTCCGTCCGTCTGTCTGTCCGTCCGTCTGTCCGTCCGTCCGTCTGTCCGTCCGTCTGTCCGTCCGTCCGTCCGTCTGTCCGTCTGTCCGTCCGTCCGTATGTATGAACGCAAGGATCTCAGAACCTATAAGAGCTAGAGACTTGAAATTTTAGCTGTAGGTCCTCCTAGTCCCCGCGCAGATCGAGTTTGTTTCCGATATTCAACAACTTGCCCATTTTAAAATAATCGATTAAAATCGAAAAAGAGGGTTCAGGCTCCCGACTAGAACCTCTTACTTGTTTATAATGTTTACATTAGAAGCGCCTTGCTTAAAGTTCAAGGTAAGAATTGTTTTTAATTGATCAAGTTATTATTATTGATAATATTTGAACAGAAACTGTCAAGTAAATTTTAAAAATGGAAGCACGTTTCTATCAAAGTTTGTTACTGTTCTTAAACTCAAAATGCAAAATATAGTTTTAGCCATGTGGCGACATTGGCAACAACCCTTTTTCCCCACCTGGAAAGGCACCAGCCCCAAGACTCGATAACTTTCTGGCTCTTGTTGACGTTCCCTTTCCTTTCATACTTGTGAAATATTTTATATACATATAAATATTCACACATATTAAAATTCATACCTACAGAGGGGCCCTTTGTGTGCTGGGTGCCAAGTAATGGCTTTATACGACAGAAACCAATTTATTCACCCATCCTGTTCCTGCTTCAAATTACATTCATGTGAAGTGAAGTGCCTTTAAAAATGGGCAACCTTACTGCGGGGAATGACCTTAAAGTCACTTTCGGCATTGACAGTTTAAAGCACAGAAGAAATCGAGTTTGTCATGATTTCACAAATAAATAAGCCAGATCCATGACCAAATACATATAAATCTATATTAAAATATATAAAATACTGAAAATACTAAAAGGCTGCCGTATCATTAATTTGCTTTAAGCTTTGTTCAACATAGGACTACTAAATCATATATCTGTCATAGACACTCAAAAAACAGACGCTCTTGCCTTACATATTTTTGTTAAGCTTTCAGATATCTTGGCTAAACTTAGCATTACGAGTTTTACTATACTCAAACCCAAGTTGCGACATCTTATGAACATCGGACTACATATAGCTCTAAAAAGAATCGATCGAAAAATGTTTATTAGCATTTACTCGAAGAAAGTAAACATGTAAGCTTTTTAGTGTGGAAAGCAAATAAATGCGGCAATACCATTGACTAAACTAAGCAAGTGCCTGTTTCTGTGAGCATTGCTTTCTAAAGGATATTAAAATGGTTTTACTGCTTATTCAAAAAGCCTATTAAAAGCAAAATTTTTAGTACAACTTCAAGTTGAAGGTTTAAATTGAATTGCCACTTAAACTAGAGGTAAATCAACAGTAACTATGCGAATAAAAGCAGCGTCAATTGACAAATTAGGTGCTGAGCAAAATAAGACGTAAATGTATAAACAGAAAATAAAAGCGAAAAAATAAAATGACAGCGTAAAAAATTGCAGGTAATCAAGCGAGGCGTGAAAAGTCAAAAGAATCATAAAGTGCGAGTAACTCAATGAGGATGAGTCTGGGTTTCACGACGAGACGTTGCTAAAGGATGAAACGTGTCACAGGACAATAACAACATATTCTAAATGGGTAAACATATTTCAAGACCCTTTTAGTGCGCTTGCTGAAAAGGTATTCATGTATGTACGTACTTGTTTAGAATTGTGAATACGTAGCTCATTTTGTAGTCCACCAAATAGACTTTTTAGGTGCTGCATTTATGCACTCCACCTTATTTTTGCTGCCACATTCCTGTACGACAATCTGTGCTGCGCCTTTTAACGTGTTTTTAAGCTCGTTTCCCCTGAGCCGCGGCCAACAGCGCAAATCCACAACATTTGCCACAATTGGCATGTCGCTGCGGTCGGATCGTTGCGGAAACAAGCTGCGGGCACTGAGCAAAGTATGTGAAACCACGAAAATGCGGTAAATCGATTACCAAAACTGTGTGCAACAAGACACTAGACACGGAACGTGTTGCAAAAATAAAACAAGTGCATAAAAATTGAAAAAAAATCTGCGAGCAGCTGATGGTAAAGAATGCGCTTTTTCTGATAGCTGCCAGTTGTCTACAAAATCTTTAATTCACGCACATAATTTGTCATTCATGTATACACTTAAAAACATCAATTTAAAGTAAAAAAAAAATTATATATATTTATTGCACACATTTAAAACATACAGAGCACAGAAATACAGCAGCATAGCCGCTGGGTGTCTCTTGGTGGAGCACGTTTATTATTGATGAAAATGACCACATAAAATGTCAGAAATATATTAAAAACTTAGTTTAATAAATAAATAAAGAATTTTTTTTGGAAATTTTATTGCTGGCGTTTAAATATTTAACAGATAATAATTGAAGCAATGTCCACGATATAAACTAACCGCTTTCACACTTAAATCCAAATATATGCGGAGTTCTATATCACTTAGATTAAAGGTAACTTTGAGACATTTATTTTCAAGAAAGTTTTTAAATCACATAAAGTTTAATTGCAGGAATCCATTTGATGTTTGTTTTACATGAAACTCCTTTCAATTCCGTCACTTTGGAGGATGCGGTTTTTTTTGTTGAAAAGCCACACAAATTAAATTCATTTCACACTTCACGAATCGAGCGCAAAAGTTAAGAGGGTGTGGAATGAGAACACGCCCATATTCTGTGCCCTGAACTGGGTCACTTGTCGCTTGAGACACTTCAAGTGTAAATTTGATGTCTTCAAGGCGTCTTAACATGCTCAATCAATGATAAAAACCACACGCACACTTGAAAAAAAAAAGAGAAACCAAAAACACGTTTGTGTCAAACATACAACAACTTGAACATATATACTATATATATACATATATATATATATAAGTATTGACCCACACCACAGTTTTATTGCCTTTGATACTGTCAAACCGATTGAATTGAATTGAAAAGCTTTGAAAAGGAATTGGGGAAATGTTTTTGCGCCAATCGCTGTGGATTTGTAAAGGGCAGTTGAGTTCGTCAATGACGTTCATTAGAACGCTTTAAGGCACTGGGTTAACCCTGACAATGACTGGCGCTCGCAGGGCTGACAAATTGCATGCCAGCGACTACTTCTCGGGCCAGCGAATCCCCCAGAGAGTTCAAGGGACGTTTGCCAGAAAGTAATAGCAAATACGCGAATTGGCATAAAAAATGTATTTCACTCTATTTTTGCCTGCCTGGAGAACTGCCTCAGTTGCGAGATTTATAGCCCATGCGGTTAAATACGCCATCGGGCAATGCGGGCAGCACATAAAAAGGGTTCGATTTAGGGTAAATATATTTGGGGCGCAACAGTTGCGTGTCGAGCCCTTAACTACTTATGTACATATGACATGGGCCACATTTTAAAGTTGACGTCCTTGCCGCCTACTTAACCCCACCTGGCATAGTAAACGCAATCTGTTGCGCATACACAGAAAAAAAAAGCAGAATATTTAATGCAATAAACTGAGAATTTGTTTCTTATTTTTCGAAATCAAAATTGCAGCTGCTTTTTCTGTGAATGTGAAAACATTTTTGATTTAAAATTAAAAATGGGAAACTATGCTCTTTCGCTTGTTTTGGCTGTATAACTATTTTAATTAACGCTGCTCTTAAATATTTTAAATTTCTCTGTATATTTAAGTCCTTATGTTCGAAGTATGTCAACTCATAAATATATGACCCTCATATAAGTTCATCTAACAGTAAATGCGTGTCGCACACACATAAATGCAAGTACACTCAACGTCAAAACCTTTAAACTCTAGTTTAACGAGCTGTTGCCAAAACCTCCATCCGCACCCAACCCCTTGCCCATAACATTATGTCTCTTGCTGCAGAAACTGACTCTAATGTGACGTTTATAAGTGCTGTGCGACGACATGTGCGACTATGACGAGAATTACAAAGTGCATTTTTCATCATACTGCCAAGGAGTAAGAAAAAAGTTTCTCTTGAGTTTTAAAACATTGAATTTTATTACTCGTTTCATTCCTGTGCGAGCGTCCTTGGCAGGCATAAGTGATTTGGGCTAGGAGAAGTAGTTGCAGTTAGTGAGATATTGTAATTGGAATGTTATAATAAATAATCTTATATTCCAAAATCAATTGTTTACAATCTCTGTTGGGGTACCCTCAAGGCATTGCACGTACGGCCATGGACATGGCAAAATGTGAGCATTTGTGTCTGTCTCGCTTTGCATCGAGAGCATTACATCATGTATGGCTCCAGCCACAAAATCGACGTTAGTTGTACTCAAGGCGCCCAGATTGATGCGTCCGGAATCGGGCACATAAATATGTTTGTTACGAAGCTCTATCAGCTGTGGTATCTTTAGATTTGTATATAGATGCGAACCAGACTGTTCTTTTAGATGATCCCAGCTGCCAGGCGTTTTAAGCAGCTCCAATTTATTGCTTAAGGCCAAGCGCATTTGTTGCATACGCTGATGTATCTCCTGGAGCGACAGAGTCCTGTTCACAGTGAATACGAAAGAGTTAATGTTGAAAGTTGTAAAGACAATTGCCTTTATCAATCGTCTTACCACTCATGACGCAAAGATGCGTTAGTGAGTATCTTGGCCACAATACGACTAGCAAACACCGAGCAGCTCTTTTCGTTGCTCTCAAGCAACATGGCCTCAAACTGTTCCCGCACCGTTTCCAGCTGTATGGAATTCTTAAGCACGACCATTAACTGACCTACGGTTTCATCTGCATGCAAACGATTTAAGTTAGTGCGTTGGCAGTTGGAGCTAGTCAGACTTTTCACTTACTGTGAAGACCGAAACTCTTGACGAACGACTGGGCGCAGAGCAAATCAAAGCCACTGTCAACAAAGTAACGCACTGCCCAACTATCCTGTGCAGTATCCCCACTGGCGAGACCATGTGATTCCAAATGGAAGAGCGGCAGCAATTTCTTGCACTTAATAATGTGCGCAATCAGCTTCCACTCATCGATGCTGGGATCCAAGCCAGTCGGATTTTGTGCACAGGCATCGAGCAGCACAACGGCGCCCTCCGGTGCGGTCATCAGGTCGGCGACCAATCCATAGATATTCAGCTCACCCTTCGCCTCGCAGTAATACTGAAAGCTTTGACAGGTGAAGCCTGCGCTCTTGAATATACGTTCGCACAGCTCACAGCTAGGACGCGGCAACATGCAAACATTGAACTGCATCTTTTGATGCAGAAACTGTGCGGCAAGGCGCAATGCATCCAGGCTCGAACGTGTCTGTACGCCTAGCACCTGGGTTGAAAAGTGAGATAATGAGCAAGATAGCAATCTGTGCAAATCTCATGCCGTCAATCACGACCTAAATATTTGGATCTTGCTAAAGCAATCTTCATAAAAATGCAGCTTTAGAATAAAAACCAGACCATTTTATATTATTTAGCAGACCACAATGCCATCAACTAACCTGCCATGCTACCTATATTAATTAAACTCACCCGATTTTGCAATAGAGCAGGCGCTGCTTTATTCAAGAGCAACTCATTGGAGGCTCTTATGAAATCTGGATTGCCCAGAGGTGATTGTGGTTCATGACTGTATTTGTCGTCACTTGCCACCCCAATTTCAGCTTTGCGTACCGCCTGAATAATATGCGGCTTGCCGTCATTGTTGCGATAGATTTCTCCACACAGATTGATCTTTTGCGGATGGGAGTCCAACTCAAAGGCCTGCTCCAGATTGTTCGTATCTGTGGGCTTTAGACGTTCGACCCGACTGAAAGGCAAAAACTTGGCTGTTGCGGAGCTGCAACGAGTGGTGGACTTGCGAAATCCATGCTGCAGGACGCTATGTGCTAATGCGCAGGTTGCACACATTTCTTGAAAATTTTGAATTTTTTTAAACGAAAACCCGAAAGGCAATGCAAAGTTTTAAGTTATAGTTTTAATGCCGAACTAAAAGTAGTCATAGTCTACTACAAAAGATAAAACTCTATCTGAAATAATTTATTTCGAAAATCTTTGTACGTTGATCGACCCAGGCCTTGCATAGTCTCTGCAAGTGCTGCTCCATTATAGCCAAGGCGACACGAATCTTTCTAGTAATTTAATTTGAATTGTTTGAGAAAAAAAAAGAAAAGTTTTCTGCGCTACTGTGTGTAGGGGGCCAAGCACACGCACTTCACTTAATCAAATGGTAACAAGTGAAAATTTGCGCGCTCAAAATTTGTTCATTACACACACGCAAAGCGAGACTAACTGACAGACAGGCAGACGGACAGGGAGACAGACAAGCAGAGGGGTGGACGGGTAGACAGACAGATAGAAAGGCAGTGACTCAAGTTGTGCCACTCCCCTGCTGGTTCTTTACGGCAACGGAATGATGCCGAAAAAGTGTTTGCAACAGAAAACTAGCAGCAAAGGCATTTTAGACGCCCTCGCAATAGTTTCAAGTGCCCGCGTGTGGATCCTTAGCAAGCCCGACGGCGTGACGACGTCCTTGTTTGGGCGCGTCTGCTTGTCGGCTCGTCCCTGAGTTTCCTTCTCGCTGCCAGTAAGTTGGCATTGCCTGTGGTGTTGTTGTTGCTGTTGTTGTTGTTGTTGTCGTCTTTCCACTTTCATCAACATCATCAGCATTTGTATGTAAATAATTTCGCTAAAAAGTATGCTATACAAAAGTTGTTTCTTGCTTCTCGTTTGCCATTGTCATTGTGCGTGTGCGTATGCGTACGCGTGTGCGTGTGCGTGTGTGAGAATAAAAGGCTTTCCTTTTTGCTCATCATATTTTTCTGGCACACTCAAATTGTACACGCTTTTGAGTTTGAATCAGCATATGCAAAACTCTACAATTCATTTCGGGTTATGCACCAAATTCGCATCCTTCACATTCGGTTCGGCACACGTATAAGCCATCGAAATTTAGTTTATGGCCAACTCTTATTCGCCTAGCAGACAACCTTGAACTTTGCCTATTTCCGGGCTTAGGCATTAATTATGTACGAGCTTCGGTTAGTTTCACATGTGTCAAATTCTGCGATAACAATTTGGCAGCATTCACATAATTTATGAGCCAACTATAGGCGGCTCCGACTACTTTATAGCCAGGCAAAACTTTTAGCCTAACATGTTTGAGCATAAGCAATTCATGTATATCGAAATAAGTTTTGGCCCACACTTGAATTTGATTTGGGTTAAAGGCTGCCGTTAGGTTCCTGCTGGCATTTAACTCCAACCCATTTAATCAATAACTTGATAATATTCGATAATTGCTAAGTGACACTAGCAGAACAGATCTTTTTAAATCAAGACCAAAATAGTCAATCGAATGCCTGTGCAGTTTATGGAAGCGAATAGTTTTAATATGCTTTCCAAACTTAAAATAGATAACTTTGTTTCGAAAAGTTTCTGCAATAAAAAATATTTTATCCCAGGCGAGCAATAAAACAGTTTTGATTGAACAATCAATCAAAAACTATAAGCTTATTTAAGTTTTCAGAATTAAATAAACCTGTGAAGAACTTTCAATACAGAACGTTTCAATTTACACGTTCGGAGCACTATTAAAAGACACGTACAAAGTGCATGGCCAAGTAAGGCGAACGCAAAGGCCGAAGCAAAAAGCGTTCACAATATGACCGCAAAAGCATTAACTGAGATGTTCCCATTAAATGAAAATAAGTATGTAATTATGAATCAGACTGAATGAGTGCCCAAGCCAACCGTATGCCTTTTATTGGGGGGCCAAGTTTCATGCGCAACACGGCGTATGAGCAATACCATATACGAGGCAAAAGTGTAAGAATTGCCCTAATAAGCAGGCAAGAAACGCTCGTTAAATATTTGAGCCACATTTACGACACTTATGATCCGCTTAAAGTTCAGTGTTGTCTGACCTTAAATAAGAGTATATAGTATATTTGCACAGGCAACTAAATAACTAAACAAGCAATTTTCCTTGGCCCAAATGCGAAAAGTTTTTTGGCAAACAAAATTTAAATATCATTAAACTGGAAGCTGCTGTGTGTTGCTTGTATAAACAACTTTAATAAACTCATATGTACTATATAAAGTCAAATTATTTAACAAAATTATGTTGGGATTGGCCAAGTGCGGACTTGGCAAAAAGTTTTATATAGTTTGGCTTCATAATTCTACATATTAATTAAGCGAATAAATGTTCAAGACCCTTAGTTCTGAAGGCTAAAATTGAAGTTTTTTGTAGAAGTTTTAAATTATAATATATTAAATAAAGGTCTTCAGCATTTTATACTAGAAATCATATAGTTTCAGGGGTTTACCCGTAGTTTTGGCTCACATAGCTAATTCCCCTTGCATTACACACAAATTCGACGGAATGCGAAAAGCAAAAGGTAATCTACAAACATTTTCTTACGCAAATTAAGAACAGCGTCAAATTACAGCATTACCTGAAGTCAGCCAATTAGATACGGACACGAATACTTTAAGGAACTTAAGCTCGGTGCCTCTTGTGGAACAAAGACTATTAACGAATAGAGAAGGGAGGGCTGGAGGGCTGGCGGGTTGGCTCAATTACTTAGGTCTGTATTGGCGTCGCTCCTACACAAATAGCCAAAGCAACTGATCAATTATTTAGAAAGTATCGAACTGGGTCATGTTCAATGACTCGAGCTGCACACAGTCCACTGATTGACTTAAGTTTGCCAAGGTCACATTGATTTTTCCGGCTTCATTTTGCTAATTTTCCAAGTAATTTTTCTTTGGGCGTTGCGTTGCGTTGCGTTGCTGTAATTAAATTTGATCAAGCCTAAATATAAGCTGCACAATTGTTTGGCATGCAAAAAGTTTGCCTACCAACAATAGCCAAACGTTGAACGGACCTTTTCATTGCTTTGGCCAACTGGCTACGGACAAGGACCACAACGTGGACGTGGACGTGGATTGAATAAATGGAGCGCACTGCCTCAATGGCAAATTAAATAACGCGCCTAAAGTTTGTACAACTGATGCGATTTCACGCAACGTAGCCCACCGGTTAGACAACGTCCGCCCCAGAAAATGAAAAAAAAAAACAAAAAAAAAACAGCAAAAAAATTAAACAAAAAATAAATGGAATAGCTTGGCCAACGAATTTGGTGCTGGCGGGGGGAAAAAACATGAAATGAAAATTGAAAACGTAGCGCGAAATAAACGAAATATAAATAAAAGAAATTTTCAGCAACGTGAAAACCGAACGATGGCTGTGCTAAATGATTTCGTTGATGATGCAAACAAATGAACCGAAACTAAAGCAATTTGTAGGTAAGAAAAATAAATAAGAATAAAATCAAAAAGAATGTCTATCAACTTGTATGTTGACCCATAATTGAAAATTTTAGAAAAAAGAAGACCTAAAGTGACAAATAAAAAACAATGGCAATTTTAAAGAAAGAGATAATGTAATTAAAAATACTAAACTTAAAGCAATCAATTAAATATTTATACAAGAAAACATTTATTTTGCCGGCATTTTAGGAACACTTTCTCATTGGATCTATTAATAAGAAACAGAACAATAACAAAACCCTAAACGCCCACAATTTGTAGAGCAACCGAAATGTTTGTAAAAATTTGTTAGCATAATTTGGAGCGACGCCCACAAAATAAAGCTGACTTTATGCTGAACCAAAAAAAGAAATAAACGAGAATTAGAAATAGAAATAGAAGCAAAGCAAAAAAACAGACTGACAAACATGTGACGCGGGGACAGGGCAGTGCAGAGATGCGTTAAATTTAAACAAATAAACAGCAGCAGGTACAAATGAAAAGCGTAGAGCAATGCCCAGGTATGCGAGTATATATATATGTATATATATTTGTGTATGTATGTGTGTATATCCAAATTGCTGCAGGCTGAAAAACGTGTGCAAATACACAAGCCATGAGACCTGGCCCAAAAAGTTTGCTATGCACTACACACACACACACATACACTCGTATCTACATATATATGTGTATGTAAAGCAGAGGATAAAAGCGCCAAAATGTGTGCTTCTGGGTCAAAGACGTTGGCGGCAGGGCAAACAAACAGACAGACAAACAGTCGACTAAACAGGCTCGCAGAATGCGAGGAATAGACGGCGGGCCCTAGACAACAACTTGCATAATTTAAATGTAGATATGCGGTTGGATGGCGCCTAAAGATATGCTACGCTTTTACACACACACGAGCACACACACTCACATACCCTCGAACGTCTCATAGCTGGGCTAAAGGAAAAACCACTTGAACTGGCGGCTGCGAACGCCTATGCGGCCACATCCTTAACTGCTGTTGTTGTTGCTGATGTTATTCTTCTTCTTATTCTTTCTGAGCAGGTTCCCTGCCAGCTGCGTGGGTGTTGATAATGAGCCATTCAGTGTGCGTGCGTGTGTATGCGTGTGTGTTTGTGGTGCACATATGCTCTACATGCATGAATTTATAGTCTACTTTATGGCTTACTAATGAACTTTCAACTTTGCCTGCGCACTGAGACGCTTTGATCCAACCATTTGTGTAGCGGTATTTGTGGTAAGTAAATAGGGCTTAGAATCTCAAATGTTGGAATCTGGAACCATTAAATTACAATCACAGCAATATATTTATCTGGAACCATTAAATTACAATCACAGCAATATATTTATTGACAGAAAACTAAATCATATGCAACTATCCGAATGATCTATGCACAATATAAACCTAAGCCATCATTTAAAATGGATCCTAACGAAACATCGAAAAAGAGGCGAATATTTATAGATTGCATAAAAACCATTTTTGGGCAACAGGACACAGGGCGAGTGCCTAAATTGGTAGCCAATTGAAAGCCTAAATAAACTAAATATTGACCTTGAAATTTCTTTAAAAAAGAGCAAAGGAAAAATTGAAAACAACATCAATTTATAGGGCGAGGGGTCGGGAGGTAGGACTCTGCTTTACCAACTGATAGACATTTTT